CCTCGGCACTTATTCTGCTGGGATCAGCTAGCCAGAGCCTTTGCCATAGCTCGTCAGCATGCCTTTGATGATATACTGGACAAACGCTTTGACTCGTTGAAAAAGAAGACACCCTCCATGGATTTCTTCTTCGGTGGTAACCTTGTCAAGGATATTGAGGAAGCTGAAAAAGCGAATAAATTAGCTTCAAAAGTCATCAAGGGGGCTTCTGGGTCAGCATCTCTGTCATCGAAAAAGAGCAGATTTTCTCCATACTCTTAAGCGGAAGCCAGGAGATTCAGAGGTACCAATAGTCGTTCATTTCAAGGTGGGCGTTTCTTTAACAGTTCCACCAGTTTTGGAGGCGGACGGTCATCATGGCCTTCCCGCAGCAATACCTTCAAAAGTAACCGCAGCACCAACAGCGATGATAAGTCAAAAAAGTAGAACAGTTCCCGCAGACAGGTCGTCTCGTATTCTTTGTTAAACACTGGAGAAATCTTACGCAGGACAGCTGGATTCTCCAGTCAGTTTGCGGCCACAAGATAGAATTTTTAAGGCCACCATTTCAGTTGCAGGAAAGAGTACCTGCCAATCACAAGTGGGAATAGTGCAAAAAGAGGTTCAGAAGTTGTTAAAGAAAGGAGCCATCCCATTGGAAGATCCAGTGGAAGGTCAATTCATTCTTCTCTTTTTTAATTCCAAAGAAATCGGGAGAACTTTGGCCGATCATAAATCTTCGGCCACTGAACAAGTTTGTGCTTTACCAGCATTTCAAGATGGAGGGCATAAAACTAGTCAAGGATTTGTTGAACCCAGGAGATTTCATGGGCTCAATCGACCTAAAGGACGCATGTTTCATGGTCCCCATTTACACGGTACACCGCAAATACCTGCGTTTTCTTTGGCAAGGCAATCTGTTTCAGTTTGCTTGCCTCCCGTTTGGCCTCTCGAGTGCGCCAAGAACATTTACAAAGGTGCTCAAACCAGTTGCCGCACATCTAGGTCAAATAGGAATTCGTTGTGTATTCTACCTGGACGATATCCTCATTCTGGGAAAAACGTCAGAGGATTGCAAGGACAACTTGAAAACAACAGCCGACCTACTTTAGAGGTTAGGGTTCATCATCAATAAAGACAAGTCTCAGTTTGTCCCATCGCACCAGTTGACTTACCTCGGGTTCCTCATCAACTCGTCAACTATGACTTTGTCCCCGTCAACAGAGAAGGTAGACAAGATCATAATGCATTGTCGAGATGTTCTGCAAGCAAAAGACTTGACCGTGAGAGACCTGGCCAAGCTGAAGCCTATCATTGAGCATTCAGGCAGTCTTTCCGGCACCACTGTTCTACCGGAGCCTACAACAGGACAAAGTTATTGCCCTTCACAGGGAGAACTGTTACGAGACAGAGGTGATTCTTTCTCCAGCTTCACAAACCGAACTGGAAACTTGGGTAAGCTGCATCAGGTTGTGGAATGGCAAAACACTTCTCGACCCAACTCCGGACGCATCACTCCAGGGTTGGGGTGCCTGCCTAGGGAAGGTGCAGTGCGGGGGCAGATGGTCTCTACAAGAGCAGTCCTTTCACATAAACGACCTCGAACTACTTGCAGTGTTTCATGCCCTCAAGTCCCTAGTGAGCCAGCAACGGAACATTCACATCCGCGTACAGGTGGACAACATGACAGCTCTGTCGTACATCAATCACAAGGGGGGCACGCGCTCCCACAAACTGTCAAATTTAGCAGTACAGATATGGACATGGTGCTTCAGCAGAATACCTTCCAGGGGTTCAAAATACGATAGCCGACTGTTACAGTGCAACCGAGAAACCTAGATTATTTTAACGTGTTCCGTGTGTTTATTGTGCCGTGCAAGTTGTATGTTTTTTATGAGATACCAAAGGTATACGGTTACACCCCGCATCGAATGGATCCGTCTTAAAGTTTTTAACCAACAACGTATTATTCAATTCTCGCGTAGACTTTCCGCAGCCACTTACAACCTAGGCGTAGTCGAGTCGCAAAAAAAAAATCCCATCTTACGTAAGAACGTTTTGTACATAGGCCATGGTAATTGTTATAGAAAGCGCATCTTAATCGTTGAACAAAACCACACCAATTAGTAGACAACAGATTGTATTGTATTAAACCAAACGCAGCGTTTAGGACTTTTTTCCATGTTGTGAAGTGAGTGAATTTTGTTGAGAGAGAGAAGACATTTTAGATCTGATAGAGAGACGATCTAGAGTGAAGGTGGGAGAGAGAGTGATCGTGTTTGCCAGACCGGTTTCAGCTTGCCCTGCACCTGAAATCTGATGACAGCAGATTTAGCTTTTGGGTCAGTTTGATCCTGCGGGAACACGGAAAGTTCAGTTCCGTTTCCCAGAATTTGGCAAATCCAGGCCAAATTCTAGAGTCATAGCGTCCCGGTCATCTTGACATCACACAGCAACCGTTCACCTCCCCAGGTATTCGCCCAGCTAAATTACCGTAAGTGTTGATTTATGGAGTTTTGTATAAATTTTTATTTAATACTGGAGTGATCTTTAAGATTGATGGAGACTAAGTTGATTTTGAAATGAAGATTGGATTGATCTTTAGAAGTTATTATTTACCAGCATGATTTTGAAACGACCAAGAGAAGTCAAAGATCGTAGAAATGTAGAATTGTTTTATCATTAACAGCAAATCTTGAATTTGACGTTGAGAATTACTTTGAGCATGAGAATTTTGATTGAAGAGTTTGATAACAGAAAAGTCAGCTATTATGATTGAGAATTTCGAAGTAAGGATTTTAGTATACATAAGATATTTCTTGAGGATTTGGAAAGCAAACCAGATCATGTAGAGATGATAGGGATGTTTAAATTTTTGTATTATACGAGAAAACTCGAAAGGTTTTGGATCTTATATTTATTTTAGATGGCCTCTTTATTTGGTATTGAGTGATCCGTCGGCAGTAACACCGACTGGAGAGGAGTCTTACATTGACTAGCAACCTATAGACAAGGCGTTGAAGCATGGTACTGATGTAGCGTGTATGCAGACCAGTCCTGCAACCTAGTGGGCAACTTGAGGCTTCAACATCGGTTTGGAGAGTATCTAAAATAAGCTTTATTGAATCTGTGAAGCACAAGAATTAAGTACAACTGGTGTAGTTTGGAAAACTTAACGTACCACAGAAAGCAAGTTCTTAATATAACTGAAATTAGTTTGTGAACGAATAAGAATACACCGGAGAGAAACCAAGCATTTAACCATTTGATAATTGTTGGAAATAATAATTTCGAATTGAAGTGAAGATAAGAGTTTTATCAACTTCAAGTTAAATTAGAGGAATTGAATTGTAAGATATTTGCTGTATATATGTAAAGAAGAAGTTGTGAAGTTTTGGTTGTTTTTTTTTTTTTTAATATAATTGAAGAAAGTTAGAAGTTGTTTTATTCCCTTCTTTTATTCTGTCTGTTGGGGTTGCCATTCCTCTCATATATTAAAGATATAATTTAGCCAAATTCTGGAGTGGTGACATATTTTGGGGGCTTGTCCGGGAAACTGGTAAATTAAAATCGTACTAGAAGGAACACCAACTGTTGATTGTATATAGATGTACTATGTTAATTATGGATGTATGATGATAATAAGTGGTATCTTGTACGTTGTTCTATCCCATGCGATACAGGCGGAGGTTGACTGTTGCTATCCCTACCCCCTTGCCCATTCGGCGACCTCTGGATTCAAGTTTCAGGTGCTGGGTAAGTTGAAATCGGTCAGTGTGCAAATGGATGTGGATCTAGAGCAATTGCGTAGTGTTTCTGAGGCATGTGGTTTAACTGGTCAAGAACTAGTACAATTTTGCCGCGAAGAGCGTAGAGAAAAGGAAGACACCGCTCGCGACATAATTTCCACTTATTTCCAATTTCCACTCCGCAGACGCCAACTTCACCAAATGCCTGGGCTTATTTGCATTTTTATGAATGGAGGAACTTTCCATTTATTTAAAGGGTGGTTCAGACCATATTAAGTGGACAATAATACAGGTGAGTCTCTCCTCCTACGGCTTCATATAATTCCAATTATATGTCAGGTAAGTACCTTAACATAATTTTGAAATTTTAAAGCATTGCATTTTGTACAACTAAACTATTGTGCTCAGTGGACCATGGACCCCCACTGGCTCCATAGGAAAGTGCACATGTAAACAAAGTATGAAGTCATTAGTACAGAGGCTTATACAGATGTGGTTGTGCCGTTTTCAAATGCACTTTTAAGTTGACATCAAATTGCCCATGATGACGTCATTGTGACGTCAGTTGTCAATGTTCACATTAACTATGTGGTCTTTGTCTGTGCAAAGTTTGAAGTCAATCTGATTAAAGTAAATGTCATATTGTGTAAGTAGAACAAAATTGTGAAAGTTTACAAAACTATTAAAAATCATTTGATGATATCATTGCGACATCATTTTGGAATTTGCATACTAACGACATTATCTACATACCCACTAAGTATCATGACGATCAGATCTTCCTTTACGTGTTAAAATCATTACATTTTTTAAGATGACATCACACATTTGCCACATTTTTGTGCAAGTAGCTTTGAATTTATTATGTTCTGTTCGTGGGATATGGCTTAAAGGTTCAAAATTCAAAACACCATAAAATTCACCCCAATTGTTACCTATAATACGTCCCTGTCTGCATAAACATATCATGTTTCAACCCAACCGGACAAATACATTTAGTTCTCTAGATAAACATGTAGAACTTTAAAATATGCACCTTTAAGATGACATGACATGACCAATAATGTCATCACAACATCAAACTTTGCAGACCATCTTTGGAGTAAGGTCTTTACTTATGCCAAGTTTGATTAAGATTTAAGCTTTAGAAGGCAATAAAAATTGCGTAGAAAGTCTATCGGATTTGGGACAGAACAAAAAGAAAAAAATCTGAACATAAACAAGACAACTTTACGGAAAAGTCTATTAAATTAGTTTTATAACAACACTTACTTCTTCTTTTGCAGGAAATCCACCTCCAGAGTAATCCATCCAATCAGCTGTGAGTTTTTACTGAATTCATAGGATGTTACTTCAGAGGAGAAAGAAATACATGCATGTGATATCACTTGGAACTGAAGTTTAATTTAAAAGCAATTTAAGCATAATGAAATACAGTATTGGTCTAAAGTATTAGAACACCTGGAAAAAATAAGGGAACTGTATGTTTGTGGGCATAGGGGTAAGTTACATGTACGTGTAAGGACACAATACTGGCTAAATTTAGGGTGGAACTCAATGTTGTCACTCCTGATAACTAAATAGCTTGGTAAAGTCTGTTTTGGTGGTTTAATATGTTAGGTACAAGTATGAACGGATAAATAAAATTTTTAAAATCTACAATTTTCATTTTTTAGTGGTAAAATTCTTGATTTTTGTTGAAAATTAACCTCGAAATACCACTTAAAAACGGGACATAACAAGTAAGCCTTTTTGAATGAATTAAAAACACGCTTACATTTTATTTCCTCAGATGAATATTGTATTGAAGTTGTTAGTAATGGAATGAATTTTACAAACACAGGTAACCTGTATTCAAATTTTTTCTGGTTTGTGCACAGGGACGCCAGATAAACTATTTAACGTAAGTTACGTTTGGTGTCCACCTATTTAGCATATTTACTGGGGTCTTTATAAACCGTCCTTAGTATATCCTACAGTAATTTCAGATGATAGAGTCTTCAGAAGCATAATATCAGTTCCTTTATACACAATGTACATAAGTTTTTAAATTTTACCTTTCCTTAAATCATATGAATCATAATCATATATAATGAATGCCTAATTCATTATGTGTTAGGAGGAAAGGCCAAATACTCTAACAGTGATGTTGTACCCTACATGTGTACCAATATATCCAATCACAATTAGGACATTTGATCTACATAAAAAAAATCAGTCATTCTACACTATGTAACTTACGATAAATGGTGTCCACTAAATGGTGTAACTAACGTAAGTTTAAAGCTACATCGGTAGAAAAGTAAATAATAGCTGATTGGTTTTAAACAGCACATTACTTTCTAAGGAATATCTAGCAGTTTTAAATATTTACTGTGATATCCAGAGCACTAGGAGTACAAATGCCATGCATGTGATTTAACGTTAGTTACAGCTGGACACCAAAGTGGCATTAGTTACAATGTGCACTTTGTATAATACGATAGTTAATATCTACAAGTGACAGCTTCCCATTGGAATATTGGTGTTAATTAGTTAACATGGGTCCCTATGGTATTATGGAGAACAACAATTTAATATCAGTTTTGGGCTCAATAATAATATAAAGTTATGTAAATGAAGGCCTCTGTGGTGTCCACATGTAACTTTTGATACAGAGATTGTCAAAAGAGGTCCATATAAGATCGTCACAGGAATACAATTTTTAATGGATGAATTTCCCTCTGAGGTCCTTACTGTGAGACACTGTTGTCATAACGTTTTCAATTGATCTGCTATTAAAATGGTTTAACAGCTAAATCTCTCATTTTATTTAACGTTAGTTACGGTGTCCACTTGTTAAATTTGCAACAAAATATTATATATAAAAAAAAATCGTCTAAATTTTACATTTTCAGCAATGAATAGCTTATATTGCAATAAAGAAACTATAATTATCTCCATTTCTGCCAATTATGGTCTGGTTACAAGCAGGAAGTGGACACCATGTAACTAATGTTAACTTTCTCCCTATCACCAACATAAAGCTGCTAATAAAGGAAAGATGCTTTAAAACTTATCTTCTCATTATTCTTTTCTATTGAAGGAAGGCCGGTCGAGCATTATGAAAGGGAAACAAAATAAATACAACCAACTTTATTTTTGATCCCCATGTCCCTATTTTGTTCACCAGTATTGTGTCCTTGCACGTACATGTATTTCACAATCATTTAACTGAACAATAAAAATGTGTAATCCGGTAACAGCATTATGATGGAAAATATGTCCATAAATGATAAATCACAGTGACAGACAAACCTATTTAGGTCAATATTTTGTGTGGCCGCCTTTTGCAGCAATTACAACTCGGCAACTTGCAGGCATAGTGTCAACATCATTCTGAATCTCAAAACTTATGTCATTGCAGCACCTCTAAAGTTCATTGTGCCAATCACACCTGCACCACCTTTTATGTTCTTTTGAATAAGAACGTTGATTTCGGGCGCAATTCAAAATATGACTGGGCAAATTTTAAATAACCTTATGTACTAATGCCGTCACACAATGTTTACCGCAATGCATTGTAGGATTGAGTGGGGGTCGCCGCACTGCGATCGCCATAGAAAACATGTAGTATTGTGTATTTTGGGGCTGGATTATTTTAATTTGCCCCACGAAAGCTATCAAAAATGACCCTCAAAAGTGATAAACCTTTACTCAATTAATGTAAACTGTATTTCACGATGATTCTATGAAAAATAATGGAGAATTTAGGTATGCACAAAACCTGTCATGATGGCCATATATTGCACGGTATAATAGCACGCGTGACTGTATGCACTGTGTACAGTGGGCAACCGATACACTTGATGAGTTTCGGAAAAACACGCTGCTTCAAGTGCAAGCGGTACAACCGGTACAACCTCGATAAATAGTTAAACCAAAAATATACATCAAAATGGAAAAGTTTAACCACAGAAAATACATACACAAAAAAGACAGATGACCCAAGTTCTTTGAATCAAATGGCAGAATTTTTTTTCTCCATCAATCTCAGTCCAACTTGGACTCAAACCACCTCGGACCCAAGCCAACTCGGACCCATGCCAACTCGGACCCACTACCAACTCGGACCCATGCCAACTCGGACCCATAACCAACTCAGACCAACGGCCAACTCGGATCCATGCATGACCAACTCAGACCCATCGTGAGGACATGTTTCCAATCATTCGACATTCAAGTTGGCCCACTTACATGTGTTACAGTGATGCTGTTTAGTGTAACATATAAATCAAGCACAGATCTTCATAGCAAAATATAATCGGAAAGTATGAACGTTGAAATATATACACTTTCAAACACAACATTATTAATATTAGACACATACACTGTAATACTGCATAAAACTAATGTCAATGAATAAAATATAAGAAAAAAAAAGTGAAATCTAAGGCCAAAAAAAAAAAGTCTCCGGTTTCTGGTATGCGCGCGCGTTGCCGTAGCCATGCGCGTCGGCAAAATGAAAAAGTTTTATTTTCAATGAAAGATGATGTCTCAAAACCGCCAAACTCACTGGTTTGACTGGAATTCTGCTGCTGCACAATTTTAACGTGTTTTTAGATTGGGTTATGGTCGAGAATAAGCTTTATGTGGCCTCTCTGGACTCCCATACATTTGCACTAAGTTTAGTCAGGCACCATTTGCAGTCATCAGCCGACATTTGAAGCAAAAAAATCAGGTAAAAAAAAAAAAAAAACGCGTCGCCGCACCACTTTTTGGGCAAGCTCCATACCAGAAACCGGAGACTTTTTTTTGGGGCCTAAACGTTCACGGATCAAAATGATAATCAACTTCGAAATACAAAAATAAAACCACAAAGTCAGCATATTGTAAATATGAAATTACTGGCCTAAATGGGTAAAAATATTAATACCTATTAAATTACAGTAGTATTAAATAACTCATATAGTGGTATAAATGAAACGTGCCATTTCCAAGTGCCAAAAAATAATTAAACTTACAAAGCATTTGATTAAAAATATCCATAAACACCATTGCATACACTTTAAGAAAAATGAAGGTCCATATGAATTTATTTTCAAAAGTTATATCAAAAAAGTATAAAAAAGTTTTAACAAATCCGTTAAAAGAACAAAAAATACAAGTAAGCATGTGAATTGACAAAATAATCAATTACATTATTGGCCTAAATAGTTATTTCAACTTCCTTGTACATCCAAAAAATAAATAATTTTGTAATATCCTACTTGGATGTGGGCAGGTTACCGTTCGTTTTACATAAAAAATGACAACTTTGTCGGTTACCATTCATCATAGTGATCGTACATCAAATTCCCCCAAGTGTGGTTGGGCTCTACGAACGAATACTTACCTGTAGAGAAATCTACTTATTTGCATATTCCCTATACCGGCAGGTATTTTCCGCTAAGAGTTTTATACAATAGCACCCTCTGGCGCCCTACCCATAAAACCCCGCGGCATACGTGCCTCTTGAGCGTCCTCTTTTCTCAAGCGTTAAGTCGGAATACAAAATGTACTCATGGCATCGAGAAGAGTGGGGTAGGGGGATGGATGCTCTACAGGTAAGTATTCGTTCGTAGACCCCAACCACACTTCTGTGGGGGGGGGGGGGAGTCTACTTCACTCAACTTACCTGTAGAGCAATCTACTTATGCATAGACTAGCACCGTCAAGGTGGTGGGTCATGCGAGATGCTACTGTTTAATCACAGGGGCACGAAATATGGAAACATAACCCCAGATGGCTCCCACTGTTCCACCTGAAGGTGGGCAGGGTAAAACAACCAAGAGATCTGCATGTTAAGGATATTAATTAAACTTACATGCCAACCGAGACATCTGCCTTTGTTATAGAGAAACCCCTCAGTAGACTGTATCCCACCGGAACATAATGTACGTAATGTGCCCGGTGTTACAAAAAGATAATAAAATGCAAAGCATTATGACACAATACAGTCGAATCCTGAAAAGAAGAGTACTGTTTATACAAGACACTTCTTATAACAAGCTCAAAAAGACTTCAAGTCCCAAGTCTTTGTACAAGGTAACTGTAATAACAAGGTAACTGGTAAAAACCAAGGACCTTGTTATAAAGGTGTTTGACTGTACATTTATACACAATAAAATATGTAAAGGTAAATAGTCAGAACGAGGAGACTCACCAATTCTAGGGAAGTCCTTGGCAGGAGAGGGTCCTGTGGACATGATGAGGCTCGGCTCGCCCTCCGCAGCACTGCTCTCCCTGCTCTGCCCTCCGTCTGGAGAACGTCTTTCAAGTAGCACTCGGTGAAGGTGTTGGGGGTCTTCCAACATGCTGCCTGCGTGATGT